TGTCCATTTTTTAAAAACCTTTGTGTGCATCTTCATGTCAGCAATGTAAAGAAGGTGATAGGTAGGAATGTTGGAGAGCACGAGTGGATGGATGAGGCACGGCGGCTCAGATGGAATTCTCAGCGGGACACAGATTTATTTCGCACGGGGCACCTTTCCCTCAGGAAAGGAAAGATGTCGGTGGAGGGAAAGATGTCAGGGAAGGGAAGGGAAGGGAAGGGAAGGGAAGGGAAGAAGGGAAGGATGTCAGGGAAGGATGTCCAGGAAAAATGTCCGCTCACGGGTTGTGAGCTGGGACTTTACATACGGGGGCTTTAGGGTAGGGAATCAGGGAGGGGGAAGCAGGATGTGCATCAGCAGCCCATCCCTCAAGTAGGTCTCCCTCCGCGCCGTCATCCGCCGGCCGTGGTGGCGCACACCGGTAGGATTATGCTGAAGAGGCAGAGGCACGAGGATCTGGAGTTCGTTGGGGAGGGGGGGGAGGTGCTCTTTGGAACCCTAACAGAAGGAAATGTGTTTCTTGATTCTATAGCATTTAACATTAATGTTTACTAAGAAAATCAGTGAGGAAAAGTAAAAAAAATATATAATAATTTCTTTAAGTCCACAACTTGGTATATTTATTAGAAAGTTCTAATCCAACAGAGCCTGATGACACATTCCTATAATCCAAAGGCTGAGGGCAGGAATATCAGTAGGTCAAGACCAACCTGGGCTATATAGTGAGATCCAATCTCAAAAAGAAAAAGTAAAGGAAGTTCTTATAATTGTACTAATCAGCAATAAGTTATTGAGCCCTTCATACATTTCAGATACATACATGTAATGTATATTAGTTATTTTCTCTATTTCTCTCATTAAAACAAATGTATCAGTTAGGGGAGTTACCACTCTTCGTGTACTTATTGTAAAATTGAGGAAACCAGGGCTTTGATGTCTTATTTTAAGTGACTCAGACATTTGATTCATAGTCACACTTGGGGGGAATGGTCTTTTGTCCTCAATCCTTTCTCTCCCAGTGAGAGCCTGGGGACTGTATTGAGTAATTTAGGTGGTGAAAAGTCTTTTTATTTTTTTTTTAATTTATTTTATTTTATTTTTGTTGCTGATGTTTTTGAGAAAGTGTCTCCCTATAGCCCCACCAGGCTTGGAACTCACTATGTAGACCAGGCTGGCCTCAATTTCATAAAGGTGACTTGAGGTGAAGAAACCAGACTTATAGACATTTGCAGTATAGGTTACATTTTCTGCCTGAAACTTCAAGTCTTTTTTCTAAATGGAAACCAACTGAAGCACCTGCTATCTAAGTCTCTAGCAAAGTAGCCACTTACAATGATGACTCATTTTTAGCCACTGATCTAGTTCTGTCCTCTTCTCTTAGATCAGTAGCAGCTGGTCCAGTGATTATCTGTCAAGTAGACCTTAAGGCATTGAGCTTACTTAATGATAGCTGACCTAATGCTTTGTGTCTATCTCCTTGTTTTGGTACATCTTGATAACTATTCTGACCTTAGTGAAATCTACTCACTTTTCTCTGCCTTATTTAATGTGATGAAAAAGTTCCCAGAAAACCCTGCATCTTCCACTGAATTTCCTGCAAGACTGACCAACTGATTAGCAATTCAATGACTGTGTGGAGTTTGGAATGTTGCAAATCCAAAGCCTTTGTTCAGTTTATCTAAGTCTGTGTTTAGCTGTAAACAGCCACTCCTAGCCCACCTCTATTTTCTGACTTAACATTCTTGTGACTAACAAAATGTGTTAACAAAAGAAACAGTTTCCACCAATCAAAAGGCTAAGAAAGTTATCAGCATCTGAGATTTCTCTTTTGCTGTATCTGCCTACTTACTGTTTCTACCAGTGTATTTGAAAAGTGTCTTATTTATGACTTTTCTTTGTTCTGTTATTATAAAAACTTAATGAAACAGTTACCATGTTGGAACATGGAATTTGGGGTAACCTCAATCTGTGTTCCCAGGCCATGCTCACTGATATTTCACTCCAGAATAAACTATCTCTTATCTCCTTTGATATGAACTTACACAGTTCGTATTTGGTTTGTTTTTCAGTTTTGCCTTCCACTGCTAGAAGATCCTTTCTACCTCATTGGCCTCAGTTTTCATTCTTAGCATACCATCTGTCTTGTGTTCCAGCTATTGTGCCATCTTTGAAACAAGGGCAAATGTGTGTTTGTCCTGAACCCCTAACTACACTCTGGGGTTTATCCAAATAAATACCATTACCAGAGTGTTTTCACATAGTTGTAAAAAAAAAAAAAAAAATCTCATTTTCTGAGATATGTGTTGAAATAAGAGTCCAGTCCTACTTACTGTGCTTATACTCCATGAAATGCATATCTATAGACATTTCTACACATTATGCATTTACAATATGGTGATATTTTTCCTTTTACAATAAGTAAAAGTATGTGAACTTGTCTGTAGACATCATTTTTCAATTGCCTTTCTTTCTACTTTGAAACAAATTATGGACAATACTTTATTAAAAAATTGGTACATCATGGTGTATGTAAAAATTGTACTATTGTCTCTATTAAGCAGACCTAATTTCTCTAAGTACTTAACATATAAAATCTATAGAGTGCAAGGTGTTTATGCCATATTTTTCTGGAATGGTAACATTGTTGTGAAAGGACTCTGTTGTTAAAAATCTAGGTCAAAGGATTGTAACTATTTTGTGTAATAAAAAACTAAAAGTTTGACCTAAAATATTAAAAAGGGGAATTTCAAAAAAGAAATGAATTTTTAAAATGGCATCCAATTCAAAATTTTAGTAGTTTTAAATAAGATTAAATAAACTGTAAGATTTACTTCATGTGCTATAACACAGGATTAATATAAAATAGGTATCAGTAAGATACATAGTATTTATTGTTTTACAAGAGAGTTTTTGAGAAGGCATGAAGAAATATTTATAAAATAGAGAAAGGAATGAATTCTATGGATGACAACATGTATAAAAACCATTCTTAATCTGAAATCTTGAAGTCTCCTAAATATTACTATTTTAAAGCTTCTGTGCTAAGTGCTCTCAGTATATAGATATTTGATAGATTTGTCAGGAAAGATTTTTATTCAGTATAAAATGGCAAAATTTATGAAAAGAAAAATAATCATGTTTTAGTTGCTAAGCAAGATTTTAGTCCCTGATTTTAAACTTTAAAAAACATTATCATTGACAGTAGTCTTTAAATGCTAAATATGAGTTCAAGTCAAAAAGACAAAAAAAAGCTAAATATGAAGCTAGGCATGGTAGCACATGCCTGTAGTCCCAGCACCACTTGGGAGGCAGAGGCAGGCAAATCTCAAGGCCAGCCTGGTCTATACAGTAAATTCCAGGCCAGCTGGGGCTACAAGGAGATTCAGGGGTCTCAAAAAGACCAAAAAACAAAAACAAACAAAAATATTAAACAAATAAAAAGCTAAATATGAAGTACAACACATCTATTATTATAAGAAAATTATTGCATTGGACCATCAAACTCCACACAAGTTTCTGTGCCCTCTAAATGTTCTATATTCAAGATTTATAGTAATGTTTTCCTATGGATGTAACAGTCTATCCATATATATCCATATTCATTCCAAATCCCTCACATATATAGAGAGGTATCATTTTGTCCTGTATTATCATGCTGAGGTTTGTTTGGTGTTTCTAATTTTTATTTTAAGACTCTGGTCTAACCTGCTTGACTGAACAAGTTTTGCATTTATTGTTTATCAGAAATATCTGAGTAAAAATCATTTGAAATTTATTATCAGATTTGAAGTTCCATCATCTTCCAGAAATGCTGGAAACTGGCTTCCTTCCTCCCACCCCACCCCTAACTTCTTAATGATAATAGACTTGCAAGGAAAACACATTAAAAATAAGCCTAATCCACTGATGAGAATATACTTAATGTATTTATTTTAGATTGCTGATAATTTAAAAAATGCTTCATGCAGAGTGAATTCATCAGACTTGTTTTCTTAATGCTGTTTTCAACTTTCCAGCAAAGAACTGCATTTTACCATTTTCAATTTGGAACAGAAAAGTATTTGTAGCAGCCATATCTCCTAATTTGACATCTAGTTTCAGGTCATTTTCATGTAAATAGAAAACAATAGAAACATGTTTACAATTTCCATAAAGGGGATGTTTGTTTCAACTTTATCATTTTCCTCTGGCAATTTTATCTTCTCTCTCTGGGATTAAAAGAGCCAATAATTGTTCACAGTTATTATTTTTCAACTTTACAAAAACTTGTTAGTTCCACTCTATCACTGGAAGGCTTCCAGTACATTCTACATTTCAGTCATATACACTATCCATTAATGTTTCTAGCTCATCCCTCCCTTAATCTGAGCTAGGTTATGCAGGTCAGTCTTTCTATTTCTTTCTATAATATATTTTCTCTGAGTTTTGCAACCTCTTTTTCTGCCTTAAAGATATAAATAAATAAATAAACCAGGAGGTGAAAACTTGGAATTGTTCCATTGAATACAACTGATGCAAGCTTTGATTTGTATTGCTTTGAACATGCCCAACTGTATTGCAAACTGTAGCTTCCCTACCTTATAAAATGCAATCCAGTGCATTTTCCAATAAATAAGTATTTTATTTCATTATTACCTTTTCTAGAGAAAAATCCTACTTTAGACTTAAGCATAGAATACTTATTTCTGTGTGTTTATGATCTGTACAGTCAGTTTTCAAGTGAGTTTCATTAGGGAGAAGTTTCATTTCTACCACCTTTTTTATATTTGTTGATTATGCAGATTAAGTGGTACGCTGCTATTTTTCTAGGAGTAAAAATAAGAAATTAGAGGATCTTTTATTTTGTGGATCTTCTAAACACATCAGCAAGTCTTAATTTCCTTTGACTGTACCTCAATTGCTGAAGTTATAATAGTTGATTCAGTCCGGGAGAGGGTTAGGGATGAATTAATGTGCCTCATCTGGTTTTTAGCTAAGACTCCAGTTTTTCTCTCTCACAGTCATATGACAAGAACAGTGGAGATTTCTGGGGAAGGAGGACCCTTGGGAATACATGTGGTACCCTTCTTTTCATCCCTGAGTGGAAGGTAAGATGTTTTCCTTGTTCCAGAAGCTCATACTAATGAAAACCCTGACAAGCTCCTTTTTCTAGTCATTTTCCAGAAAAGAGTTAAGTGTAAAATTCTATTTGGATGAGCACCTTAAGTTATGCTTTTGTTGACCTCATACATGAGAAACAAACTAAAATCATTTACTCTGGCATGAAAAAAGGAAAAAAAAAAAAAAAAAAACATCACAACTTCTCCTTCTCCACTTACAATTAATTATGAAGTACATCCTTGACAGTGATACATAGTAAACGGGCTCCTTGGCAAAGATTTGAACATATTGTTAGACAGATGTCACAACTGAATATTTTTTAACCTTATAAAATATACTTCAGTGAATGAATGAAATAATTACAAGTTCTTCAGATATACAGAACTGAGAAGAAACATTCAGTATTTAGTCGCTATACCACATGCATATATATATATATATATATGCATATATGATGATTTTGCTATAGATGAAAAATATAATCTTGCTGTTAACTTTTCTAAAGTACAATCTAGGCTATTAAAGATAATTTATCTTTTTGGAACTTTAAAGACATTATGGTGCTAAATCCACAATGGCAAATGGTAACTTAGATTATGTTAGCGTTTCTTAAAACCCACATCTGACTGTTTATATAATTTGTTTTGCTGATGGAAATGAAAATCTGTGCCTCAGAGCTCATGCTAGTGTAACAACCTTACAAAACTACTGTCAGGGGTGTGTCGCTTTCAATGCAATGTTAGCCCTCAGCCCAAGGTCACTATTGACAAGGGTTCCTAGAAACCTAAAGGAAATCAGTTTTTCACTCACATGATATGATTTTAACCAATATCTTCGACTTATTTTCTTAAATGTGTCATTACAAAGGAAGAATGTTTTATTCTTCCTTCTAGTAAAGCCCATTCATTTTTTTTCCCCTGAAAGTCTCAAAACTGTGATCCTTTGACATCTCCTCATTCCATTGCTCTCTTTAGGACATAATTTTTCCCAAAGGTTATATAGTATTAGTTTCCTAGTTCTGAGTATTTATGCAATCCAATCTGCCATGTAGTTGGAAGAGCAGCTCTAGTCTTGATATTTGGGTTGGCATCGTATTCAGCAGGTAGCCATCTGCTACCTGTAATTGCAAAGTCATCACCTTATTTTTTTCCCTGAATAACATCTGATGCCAAGCTCTCACTGGAATGAATGGCCCCTAAAAGGAAATGAACCGAAAAGCTAGTGGCTCTTATTGTCTGGTTTCCTGCATGTGTTAATAAGCATGTTTATACATGTTATGGGTTATGGCAAAGGACAGTTAGAGGTTGTTTTTGATAGACAAGGTGAGTATTTATTCAGTTACCATGAGAAATTCTAATGACTTTTGGCAGAAGTGCACTGATAGAGCTTTGTGAAATACCAGAGTGGTTAAATTACCAGGCCTTTTAGTTTAACGAACCTGGAATAGAACACAAGATCTTTGCAGTTCCCCCAAATGAGGAAATATACACTGTGACAGTCGCCATACCTCATTTTCCATAGTTCAGAAAATAGATTGGCCCTCTAGATGAGAAATCAGCTTCTCTCTAACTTCAAATAATGGGCACACACTAGAATTGATTGATTTCCCCCTTCTTCTTTATGGTTCTGATTCCTACCAGAAGACTGGAAAATAGTGGAGACAGGATTGGATCTGGATTCAAAAGAATTGGAATTAATCCCAGTGTTCTTTTTACACAGCCCTCAGCAAGCCTCCTAAACTTGTCTCTTGTGAATACCTACTTTACGTCAAGGTTATGGGGATTAAATGGCATTAAAAATGTGAAAGCTCCTTGTAAAACCCACAATCTATAAATGTATAAATTGTCAGTATTATGGTTATTTTAGTTAAAACAAAACAAACCTGATTTATAAATGAAGCTTTATTATAAGTTCATGGTCAACTGTTCAGTAACTTGGAGAAATAGTTCTAATATATTTTTTGCTATCCACTAATATTATAGAAAGGAAATTTAATTAAAAAACATTAAAAATCATATGGAAGTGGAGACATGAGCCAATAAAAGTTAAGAAGTAATGAGTACAGGCTGAAACAGTACACTTAACTCAACCCATGTGTCTCCATGCAACTGCCTACAGAGCAAGTCAGACAAGTGTCTGACTTCATACTGCCATATGGCTTCGCGGTGTGAACACAGGGACTTAGTTAAGGTCAGAGTGGTGGATTTAGCTCTTAATTTCCTCCAATTTATTGGTTTGTTTCATTATTTTAAATTAGAATTTACATTTAATTCTTTATCAAGACTATTGTAATTGGCTTCACCTCCAATGTTTTGTTTTCATTAAGAAAAATGCTGCCACACCTGTCACTGAATGAGAACCTTAATCTGAGTTAGAATATCTGAGTAAAGCACAGAGACTGCTGTAACCAGCTAAAGTCCCCATGAATTCATTAGACACCACAGCTTGGGGATGCTCAGTGCTGCTTGTGCTGAAAACAATTGGCTTTTGCATTAAAAAAGAAAAAGGAAAAGACACAAATGCAAAACAAGTGTTGGCAAAATTTCAAAATAAATTAATTTTATTTTTAAATATCAATGTGATTTTTAAAGAATTAAAACATGAGAAAAGCAGAGAATACACTTCAATTTCATAGATACAACAGCTAATCATGAGAGAGAAGTGATAAGGGAAGAAGGACTCAGAACATGAGGAAAGGAGAAGTTGAGTGAAGAATGGTCAGCTGGCAGAATGATGAGGCTGTGGGATTCAGAGGAAGGATAGGACTGGGCCGAGGAAGAGGTGCTAGAGTCTAAGTGATGATCCCGTGAGCAAATAAGTGGTTGTTGCTCTTCTTATTCTGTGTGATGAACTTTAGCATCCTTTATCACTGCTCGTAATGCCAATGGACTGCTTAGTCTCAGCTTATAATTCCTCCACGACATTAATTGTTAAATCCAAAAGTTTTGATCTCAAATAAGATAGCTATTACCACCCACCCACTTGGAGCATGGAGGAGTAGACTGTCTGATCGGCCTTCTCATAGGTCTAGATGACATCATCCTGCAGGGAATTCACCCCTTCTGAGGAATAGAGGGGGTAGGAATGGTTTGTTGCAGGGGACCAAACTAATAAAATCAATTTTACATTTTACCAAAATTACCTCTGACACATGGGTTTTACAGTTGAGCTTATTCTGTCAATAAATTTTTCATGGGAAGTTAGGTTATTTACATCAGTGAGGTTCACATAGCATGCTCCAGCTGTAATGTGCTAGCTAAATTGCAACCCAGTGGCCTGAAAGAATTAATTCATCTCCCAAAATGTGAAATTAAATCCTAGGGAGTAACATTACATGACTGATGATGTACTGAATTAAATTAAAGGAAGACTTGAATGCTTGTTAAAAAAAATCACTTACATAAACCAGTTTATAACCACATGTGAGTCTCCTAATGGATCATGTTATTGTGAATCTACCATAACAAAAATCTAAAATGTGAACTTATCAGAGAGATGTTTAATTTAGGAGAAAGCATGATTTTATCTAATTCTTCTTTTTACATGTCAAATAGTTCAGTCTTTAATATTATGTTGGGAGAGTAAGGTAATGTAATATGTTTGATTAATTTACTAAAGTATTAGAATTAGGTACTGAAGTCTGAGACCTTGTCCACACGTGCGCAGATGAGCCCAAGTCTTCCTTGTATAGGTGGCATGATGTCTGCTATTCATTCTGCAGCAGACGCGTACTGTGTTCATGTACCATTTCTGAAGGAGAAGCCCGAGTGTCACTGTGTGTTCCTTGCCAGTTGACACCTTAAGATGATCTATGCTCATTAAATAAACTGAGGCCTGGAGGCAGAGGCTCAATTTTGTGGCCATCCCAGGAAGGAGAATCACTTTCTCCTACATTTTCATTATAGGCTTCCCTTTTTGCATGACTGACCTTATTTTTCACACATAAATGTGCTCATATTTTATTTAGATTTGAGATTTAATGCAAAGGATCTATGTAACATAGCATACAAGGCTCTTATTCAAGACTGTATTTTAAAAAAAGGGACCAGGAACATAGAAATGGCAGTTTCTTCTCCTCCATAGACTCTTATGGAGTCATGCCTGTCTTTCTCAACATGACACACAATGAAGACCCTGTCATGCCAGAAAGATAAAGAACATTTCCCAAATGAGAAATGCAGAAAATTGATACAAGTTTCATTTCTTGTTGTGGATTTAGTTTTATTTGAGAACAGAGTATATGTATAAAGATACACATGTACACATGTGCACATATAGCCATCCCTCTGTACCCATGAGATTCTTACAGCATATTCAACCAACCAGTCTGAAAATATAAAATTAAAAATTATAACTGTACTAAAATGTGTAGACATTTTTCTTGTTATCCCCTAAACAGTATACTACAACTATTTTTATAGCATTTACATTGCATTAAATACTGTGAGTGTTCTAGAGATAATTAAATTTTTCAGGGGGATGCAGATACTTTAACATTTTAACTAAAGTATTGGAGCATCCACAGACTTTAGTATCTGAAGAAGATTCTGGAAAAACCCCATGGATACAAAAGGACAGCAGTATATTAAATGTAATTCTTGATTTTTGCTATAGTTTCCTTTTTCTTTTCCTTCATTCTTAACCCTCTCTCCCTTCTGACTCTGAGCTAGAAGTGCAAAGCTCCAGGAGTCCCTGGGTACCCCCTAAATCAGAGGTTGAGTGTGCTCCATGCTTGCTCTTTCAAATTAGGCTCATTGACTGGTGCTCAAGATCTCTGTGGGTGATACCAGCCTGCCACCCAATGTTAGTTTTTAAAACCCTATGATGGCTCCAGGCTGACTAATGTCTCCAGGTTTTGAACTTTTACTGGACTTTATGACTATATTTACCAATTTACCCAGTTCTGGTCCTACAATCTTAATTTATTTTCTCCTTTCCGAGAATAACAAAAGCAACTGATAAGCACTTGATTCAGAGACAGGATGCAAGGGGATGGATTTTCCTTCAAAGTAATGGGATCTGAGTTGAAATGTTTGTGTACTTTTTAAAATGCAAATTACTAGAACATGTAGTAAGACTGCAAAATGCTGCTGTAAATACCTAATCTTTTCCCGTTACTAGCACCGGTTTTCTACCTTGACACTAACTCAGGCTTACAAGTCAGCTGTGATGCCTTGACCCAAACCACTCATCTTTGGAGATATTCCCTCCATTAAACTAAACTGGCCTTTTCTAAGATTATAGCAAGCACAGAAATGGGTTGATATTTATGTATATTTGCCTTGAGTTTGTGTGCGTGTATGTGTGTGTGTGCATGAATTTGAAGAGCAATCAGTTGCTTGAATAGAAAGCATAATTTATTTCAAAAGCAGAAATAATTACAAATTTCTAAATAGTTACAAGTAGAGAAATAATGAGCTTATTGTTACTCAGTAGTCCTATTTCATCCTATATTTTGCATTTAGGGTTCTAGGACTCTTCATCCGAGGCATTGAAGAGAACAGCAGGTGCAAGGATGAGGAACTCTTTCAGGAAAATGAGTGTATTGTAAAAATCAACAATGTGGAGCTCGTGGACAAAACCTTTGCTCAGTAAGTATTTTTCCATTGTTTTATTTACTGTATTGATCCCTTGAATGGTTATAATCATTATTGAACTCATTATGATCAAAATTTTATGTGAGATTTCTGGTCAATTCCCTTTAAGTGGCCATTTTTTAATGTATTTTATGTGCTAACATAATCAGAGGTGGGCTACACATGTGCCTGGTATCTATAGGAATGTTGAGCTGTAGAATACGACAAGCCTTCCTGCCTGGTTGTCTTTCTGAGGCATCCATGGATAGAAGGGTTTGTTTTTCTTGGGCTATGGGTCAATTAGATTGGTATTTACTGTTTTATTGCACAGACCATTGATTCAGCTTATTAATTAACATCCTTAATGCCAGCAGTCTTCCTTAAACTCTGAAATCTGTGAGTGATGGCTATGAAGACTCAGTGATAGGAAAAAATTATTAAAATTAAAATAAAAATATGTGACTTTAAGAAATCACCTCTCTGAATGTGAAAATGTTATGAGAATAACTGTTTTGTACATAGGAATAAAAATGTGTAGGATTCAAATGTATATTGATGGTGTTCTGGCATCTAAGATACTCTAGCAATATTCAACAGCCTTTCTTACTTTCTTTTTTGTTTTCTGTTTTTTATTTTTTGAGACAGGATCTCCCTGTAGCCCCAGCTGTCCTGAACTTGCTATGTAGACCAGACTAACCAGGATCTTGCAGAGATCTGCCTGCCTCTGCCTTGAGAGTGTGAATTAAAGGCATGGGCCACAACACTTGGCCCTGCCCAATCTATTAATAACATAGCATCTCTCCTGGCACGAGCTATCAGTGTTGGGAGTGGGTGGTTGCTACTGGAAGGCAAGGAGCACTGGTTGGTGAATGATGGAATGAAATAATATCTTTCTAAATCAATCTGTTTCATTGAGCCATTGATAAACAGAATTATAATTATTAAAAATTATAGTAGGTGCATATTATTCTGCTGTGTTTTTTGTTTTTTGCAGTGGCTTGAGAAGTCTCACGCTTGTTTGATTTTTTATTTTATAAAATTAGAAAGTGAATCATGCGTTAGTATGAAGTCAAACTGATGAGTAGTCAAATAAAAATAATCTATTAATAATCTGATCAAAATTATGAAAGTTTTTTCTATTTAAAATTAAAGTTTGGCTTTTAGTGACAAGGTAGCCAGGAAGATCTGCCCTGCTGACGACATCAGATCATATGGCCCTCATCTGCCCCTCTCTACCCTCAAGCCTCTGAATAAAATGGTTTGACCTTCCCAAAAGTTAAAAAATCAAATTAAATTAAAGCTGATTTTTTATATATGTTCTTCTGTAATTAATTCTGGTTAGATTTCCATATTTAGAAACACTTAAAAGCTGAGAGTCATCAGATAAGTTCTTTGGTCTCTCTGAGCTTCCACTTGATTTGTAAAATGAAAGCTAATTATATTTACTTTATGTGGTCATTAAGAAAAGTAAGTGAGAGGATTATGTACAGCCACCGTGCATGTGTAGCTCAGTCTAGAGGCACCTGGTGGGCAGGTAGTGAACAGTGAGTGATAACTAGTATTTAATTAACAGAGAAATACAGGCAGTGATCATCCCAGTACCTCCTATCCTTATGAGATCAGGCTGCTGTGGTGGCCCCCAGGCTGGGGAATCTTAGAACATGGTGCACAATACCATTCTCCATTTGCTAACTCTTTCAAGGGCTCAAGATGTCTTCCGTCAGGCAATGAAATCCTCAAGTGTGATCCTCCATGTGCTTCCACCTCAAAACCGAGAACAATATGAAAAATCAGTCATTGGACCTCTGAACATTTTTGATAACAGTGATGGAGTTTTAAGAACAAAGGTACAACCTCCAGTCCATGGGAAATCAGGACTAAAGACTATAAACCTCTCGGGAACGAATAGCCCTGAAGCAGATGAGTTAACTTCCCTGCAACAAGGCAAGAGCCCCCGAGTTCCCAGACTAGGAAGAAAACCTTCCTCTCCCTCACTTTCCCCTCTCATGGGATTTGGCAGCAAGAAAAACGCAAAGAAAATTAAGATTGACCTAAAGAAAGGTAATTATTAAATTATGCATAATAGCATTCTATTATTGTACCATGTAAAATCGGTTAAGAGAAATGCATTAAAGTTAATTTAGTTAATTCTCTTTTCATTTAATTATATCAAAGAATAGATTTAAGTGTATACTTGAATTTCTTAAAATTGTAGTACTTTCTTCTCGCCTTCTACAAAGTATATATTATTTGAAATTAAAAAAAAAGTGAAGTCATACTAAGAAATAGAATCACTGCAAACTTGAAAGAAATAGAGCAATTTTGTATGACTGTTTAATACTAAATAGGCATGAGAGTTTAGTTGTTTTAGTTTTGAGCCTAAATTAGTGGTTTTTATTTTGAAACTTCCTTTAAGCTAATTTAGCAAATATGTGGGCTCTGGCTCTCTAAAATGGTTTTATATCAACAAAATTTTACTTTGCAGAATGAAAATAGATAATGATTTTTAATTTCAGATTCAACAGTGTATTTCTTCAAAATATACCTACATTCAAAGTCACACTTCTTCTTCTTCTTCAGGTTTTCTGTCCATTTCAAATATCCACACTTGTATCATGTGTGGGCATGTATGTTAATACAGAATTGCACACATGCCCATATATCCATGTACTTCTATGAGTCTGTTCATTTTCTAAATTCTGTTTGATGTTCTTTTCCTCCACTGGAACTTTCTAAAATCTTATGGCTTTTCAAGGTAATTCAAAAAGATTCAAGATATAATAGATTTTTTTCACTGAATTAATAATTTAATGGCCCACAAGGAAATTTTAGAATACTTATCAGTGAGTTTCAAAAACAAATAACATGTATCTTTCATTAGGATATAGAAATTGTTCTGGAAAGATTTCTCTGATCAAAATTTCATTCACCAAAAAAAAAAAAAAAAATCCTATGCTGGAAATATAATAAATTGAGAAAAGGCACAAAAACTTTGATGTTTATGTCAATTAGGCTTTATTTAAATGCGTTACCAATAATGCATGTACAAATAATACAGATACATATAAGAGTTGGGTACTTTGGGAACAGAAACCTGAGTAAGTTACAGAATCATGGAGATCATGAAGAGGAGACCAGATTACCAAGCGTGAATTGCCTCTGAAAATATAGAGGTATAATTTGCTTTAATAGATAAATGGTTGTAGAAGGAAGAAAGAAAAATTAAACTTTTTCCTTAGGTTTTCAGCCAGGTAAACTTGCATAAGTGGAAATGAAATTGAAATTAAATTTTTAAGTAGATAAAGATACTTGAAAATGGTGGCTCTGTATTAAAGAAGGACATATGTAGCAAAATTGAAATAATTGTGGTTTTATTCAAGAGGAGGGAGAAAATGAAGGAGGGAGGGAGGGGGAGAGAGAGAGAGAGAGAGAGAGAGAGAGAGAGAAACAGATGCTAGATCTTTTCTATAAGGTGGTCATCATGATATAGAGACAAGAGCTGACCAAGGCAAGGAGTCTGCAGCAGAAACTGGCCAAATACAGATCCTTGGGGGATCACCTGTGCTTGTGGGAGGACAATGGTGTGAATTCTAGAGTGGCAGACCAGGTGTGATCAGAGAGGTTTAAAGACTATTGAAAATCAAGGGGGAGCTAATTTCAGAATGTGCTAAGTATGAAATATCAAAAATGGAGAAGAAATAAGATAAAATATAGAAAGGATTCCTGTCAACATCATAGAAAGGTACATTCATTAACTTTGTATTACTATAAAAAAGCATCTCAAATAGGAAAGACATGATTAGGCTCACATGTTTGAAAGTTTCCATTTAGAGCTGGTTGGTGAGTTGCTTTTGGACTTATGGCAAAGCAGTGTAGCATGTTGGCAACTTGTATTAGAGCAAGCCTCTCACTTCCTGCAGTCCAGAAACAAATACAGAGGAAGCTGAGGGCCAGGGGTCGAGTAGCCTCTTCTAGGCCATGTCCCTAATGGTTCAACTTTCTTCTACTAGACCTCTTATACAGTCTCCCAATTTCTAATAGTTTACAGGCTAGAGACATGTGTCTTTGCAGGATATGCATCCAAACATATCAGTGCTTCATTCATAACAGAAGTTTCAAGAAGCACTAAGATTGAAGTAAAGATTATTTAAGGTAGAGAAGTCTGCATATATCTTTTAAGAGACAGGGTTTTGGACAGTGTGGAAGGGAGAAATTGGAGATGCAGGAGAACAGGGAAGGGGCAGACTCTTGCTGACAAGACAGTGGCTGCAGCAGTAAAATGAATCAGGTCCCAGACTAAAGGGTAAGCCACAGATTTCTCAGCTGATGGAGAGACCTACAAAACTGTCATCAGATGAGGTCATCTGTTTCTGAGGAAAGACGAAGTCAAGATGTTGCTTTCTGAGAAATCAATATCCTGGGTATGTCGATAACATGCATTTAGTTTAGAACCCAAGTAAACAAAAGCATTATGCAAACATGTTGGACCCTAAATTCACTTTGTCGCCTTCACTGCCTGATAGAAACGGTAATCTTTATTTAAAACAGGGTAACTGTAAAATCTTCTGGAATATAAATATTTTACGTATTCCACTTGGATATGAATTAGGTAGAGCTCACTATAAGACTGGATATAATACTATGCATGCTTCAGTTGACTATACATTTTTTGGTCTTGCATGGTAGGCCCTGAAGGACTTGGTTTCACTGTGGTTACCCGAGATTCTTCTATACATGGTCCTGGTCCCATTTTTGTAAAAAACATTTTACCAAAGGGAGCAGCTATAAAAGATGGCCGTCTACAATCAGGGGACAGAATTTTGGAGGTAAGAATTGAAATTAATGTCTTCAGTAAAGCATTTCTTGGTTTTTATTTTATTTTTTGTTTCTTGATTTTTTAAATAAATATATGGACATGTGTAGTAGTCCCTTGGTTTCTCTTAGGGATTGGTTCCAATAGCTCCAAGAATACCAACATCTACAGATGCTCAAATGTTTTATTTAAATGGCATTGTGCTTGCGTAGAAATGTTCCTGCATGTCTTAAATCATCTAAATGATGATTGATAATATCTAACACACTCTAACTGCTATACAAATAGTTTTATTGTGCTATTTAGAGAAAAGTTTGTCCATGTTCAGGATGATGCAGCTTTTTCAGTGTTTTTGATATGAAGTTGATTTAATCCTTAGCATTAAATACACAAAGATGGGGGGCTGACTATAAATTAATGTTTAATTTTAAATGTAATATATATTAAAAATTATTACTTGTAGAAAAGGTAAGGACTGTAATTATAAAACAAGTTAATGAGTGGCTTGTGTGGGTCCCCAATAAGGTCAATGATGTGATGTCAAATAAAATGAAATCTTTTCCCACCTTCTCCTTCTTACTTTCACCTTTTTGTACGTCTGGGGAATTTGAATTAAATCTAGGAGTTTATTAGCTACTCAGGGCTAAGAATTCCACAATCACATACAGGTATTTGTAATAGTTTCTTTAAAACCTGAAAGCATATCCAGAAGTCTCTGGGTGAGCTAAGCCATATCAGATCTGCATCATCTGTGCTCAGCTGGGAGTGGAAATGCTGTGACAGGTTTTGCATAGAGAAGTATTCAGAATACCCAGACTAAGAGGGTTATTTTTCCATTTCTTTGTTTAATAGCATCATCTTTTCAATAAATGTATACTGTCAATTCACCTTAAAAGAAATCTTGGTTGAGACTGATTCTAAATCTCTTATGGTATGAAAAGCTAGATTGTTGTTTCAAAACATTATTGCTGAGAATGTAGTTTTAGAAAAAAACATTTTAGTATTTCAGATAGTTCTAGAAGGATGTTCCAACTGATTAATGAAGCTCTGAATCAAAATTTCCAATAACCTATGATAATCTGCTGACTACAATTTTCTAGACATGAGGGAAACTTTAGAATTACATCAAAATACTTGTATTTCCAGAGTAATTTGCCATGTAATAATAATTCACTCCTGCCAGCTATATTGGGAAGGTAGGCATTTGCAATCCACCCCACACCTGTTTGATTAATTAATTTCTGATATTCTCAGTCTTATTTTACTCTCATTAATATGTGATGACCTAGGAAAAATTGCTTATACTAAATTATTGACCGCCCAAGTTTGTTCAGTATCAAAATTATGATGGAACTTTGTTATTGAAAATCTGTGTTTGAAATTCATGTTTTCAGAGTTTCATTGATTTCTGAACCCATTTGCTTCTTACCTAAAAATAAACATCAAGAGTTCGGTATGGTGGCACATGTCTGTAATTAAAGTGCTCAAGAGACTAGACCAGAAAGAGCTGAGTTCAAGGCCACCTTGAGCTACATGACAAGACTGCTTAAAAAAAACACAAACAACACGAAAACAAAAACAATCTAGGGCAGAAGAAGAATATAGGAAATGCTCTGTCTGATAGTGGCTGTCTGTATGATTATATCTGTGATTCTGTACTCATTAGGTAAATGGCAAAGATGTTACTGGCAGAACTCAGGAGGAGCTCGTGGCCATGCTGAGGAGCACCAAGCAGGGAGAGACAGCATCACTGGTTATTGCTCGCCAAGAAGGGAATTTCCTGCCCCGAGAGCTGGTAATCTCATTGTCACTGAATTTTTCAATGTTTAACATACTCATCGAATTCATACAAGCTGAGTACTGAGTTTAAACTATAGACTTCATTTATAGCAAACACTGATTTGGAGGATCACCCTTTTAGAATTATTGAGTTGGGTGTGTATATACACAGGACCTTGGGAGTGCAAACTCATTTTAACAATAAATAGCCATTCAGAAATATTCAAGTAATTCCTTAAAAGATGCATCAAGCTTGTAGTATGTAGTAGATCAGCAACATAGCCTGTTGGTCTTTTTTTGTATTTTTTATTGATTTTTGTGTACTCTGTCAAGCCAAATTTTCCTCTGAAAGACCCGTGTGTGCTCTCTGGGACCCAGACCACCACAATGTCCCTCATAAGTTACAGTTTGGGGAATAAGAATATTTATTTGGGCTTGCCAACAAAGTTTAGAGAGTCACTTACAAAGACATGAACTCTCATAGGCTTTTTCTCTCCCATATTAGAGATCTGGGCCATCAGCACATGATCTGCATGCTCCCTTCCGAAATGGCAACTATACCTCCCCTTTTATCCAGTGTGATCAGTGTTCCTCAGCATCTGTCTCTAGGGGGTTCAGCTCTAGTTTCCTTAAAGACATGCCTATCCAACAATTTCATACAAAACATCTTAATCATCTTTATACCCCTCCCCTCCCCCATCTACACCACCCCCCAAATCCTCTCCACTGGATTTCGTGCTTTCTGTCATATATGTTAAGGCCTATCAAGCCAAGTTAGGGTACCCAGTTGTCCAACAGTGCAGGTTCACCCACTGGAGTCTAGTCAGCATACCTAGAGTCTCTTCCTTAAAGAAGATCAACTCTTCCTCACCCAGCCAGCAGTATTCATTGATCTTTTTAATCTAAATATTAGTAACTGGGGGAACTGGGCAAGGAATATGCAGGATAATTCCATGCTATCTTCAAAAACTCTTCTCTAAAACCTGTAATGGTTTAGAAACAAACAACAAATAAAACAAAAAAATAAAGATAAATGGAAAAAAAGTATAACCAAGTATTCAAAATGGGCATGAGGATTATAAAGGGAATTTGCAAAGTTATACAGTTACACAGAACACAGGAAGTTAATCTGGATATATGAGAAAGGCATTTTAAGGAAAAGAACTCAAGTAATTAAAAATGTATCTCTTTAACCCCATAACTATACTTCTAATAATGTGTCCTAAATTTATGGTCAAATATGTGGGGAAAAATTATGTACATTGATTTTTTCCCTATTATATCATAGGAATACATTTTATGCTTTGCAACTATAAGGTATTGGCTAAATAAATAACTAGATATTTCTCCAATGAAATATAGTAAGTGCTTAAAATGGCATTATTGAAGAATAGTTAATAACATGAGAAAATACCCATAGCATAATGCTAATTAAAATGTAAGATATAAAATTATATATGTAGCATGATCACATTACATTAAAAGCTTCAAAAATTACTGGAAAGAAATGCACTCAAAATGTTGGAATTTTATACTTACTAACAGTGAGCACATATTTATTTCTTTAGAAATATTTTGCTTTTAAAATGATTATAGAAAATTCAAGGGGCTGGAGAGGTGTTTCAGTGGTTAACATCACTAACTGCTTTTGCATTGGACCCAGGTTCAATTCCCAGCACCCATGTGATGGCTAACAACTGTCCATAACTCTAGTTCCAGGGCAGCAGACACCCTCTTCTGACCTCCTTGGGCATTGCACTTACATACATGCAGGCAATACACTCATACACAGAAAATAAAATTAACAAATAAAATATATTAAAAACCAAAGAAAATTCAAAAGGAGTTTTAGTTACCCCCCACCTTGAATTCTTTTATTTGAATCTGTGAAGAAATGGCAAGGCATGTACAGGTGGCAGGATGGGGTGCCAGAAGTAAGTGAGCAGTCAGTGAAGTTGAGCTGTGAGATTAGTGGCTATCTGGGGACAGTTTAGAGATCATTGTTATCAAATATGTAAAGTGTTGTTGTATGGCTTAGAAAGTAGATTTACTGTCTTTTTTTAAATCATTTATCTCCATTCATCTACATATGCATCAATGCATAAAACAATTTACTATCTTCTCAGGATAAAGTTGGAGATTAATTGTGTGACTATGAGCTTATAAATGTAAATAAATTATTAGTTCTATTTTATGTAAAATATAGGGACTATAATTAGTATTAATTAACTATGGACTTTCTGACAAATATCTAGCCTCTCAAAAAACATCTGTCAACTATCCAAATATATAACATACTTTTCACAATCATAGCAAAGGGTTTTGAGGCTTAGAAGTACCTACTTCAGAGGGACCTAAAGTCTTTGTTTAGGAGAAAAAGAAAGTAGTATTTTTTTAAAAACATTTTATTATTTTTATTTTATGTGTATGAGTGTATTGCCTGCATGTATGTGAGTGCACCCGTGTCATGCAATGCCACAGAGGTCAGAAGAAAGCTTCCGATTCCCCTGGAACTCGAGTTAAGGATGGTTAGTAGCCACCATGTGGGTGCTGGGAATCAAACCTGGGTCCTCTGCAAGAGCAGTTAGTGCTCTTAACACTGAGCCATCTCTCCAGCCAGAATAATATTTTTTTGTAGCCCAAATGACTGCCTTGAGGTCTAAGGAGCAAGAATGATACAGAAAGTTTAAAAAGAGGTCATGTTTATAAGAACAAGACCATTTCCATAGCAATTTCTTGATGGCATGTCATATACACGGCTCTGTGAGAGAACAAAATGAAGAACAGTCTGTCAGGTGAACATCTTTGTGCTTTCCTTTCAAATATAGAAAGTGATGCCACTTTCGTCCTTTCTCCCTTAACGTGATTGATACGTACACTTGACTTTCAGAGGGAAGCCTGGTGGGATGAAGGAAGGACGCCACTTCCTGCTTTTGTCTTTTCTATCTCCTTGGAAGAAAACAAACTATGTTTATTTTTTTTCCTGTCCTAAGAAAGCGTCCTTTTTCTCTAAGCCTTGCTATTTCACAAGCTGTATACCTTCTTAACAGCACTGTCTGTCCTGGTTTCTGACAGCTAAATCCTCTTTACTTTCTTGTTACCATTAGCTTCTTGAAAAGTCTTAATGCTTACAGCCAAAGGGAGTATGCAGTCAGCAGTCCTACAGGAAGTCCCAATATAGGCCCATCACTCAAATGTGACCCTCTTTCATTCCAAAGGTCTCAGCATCCATTTCCTGGTCATTTCTCCTTACCTGACACCCAAGTGAACCACACAGAACTCTTGTGCACTTCCTTATCCTTCATCCTGAGTGACTGGTAGCAACACATATTTAGCAGCACATGTAGCTAAACATTCTGTTTCAGGCTAGGTGGCACATCAAATGAGAGGGAGGAGTTTATGTCATATCATCATAAGGATTTTACTATTTCTAGTATCTTCTCCAAAAGAAATGTGCTTCAAAGGTAATCTTTCCAAAATCCCATCCAGAAGACACTGAGATGTCCTTACCGCATGATGGGGCGCACTTAAATTTGAGAGGTATTCATATAAGGAACACTTTTGCAGAAGATACTTGGAGATTAGTGTTCATAACAGAATTGCACAATGAAACTGCTTTGCATCTCCACTCACAGTTAACCCTGTGCTGTTTAGCTGATTCTATGGGTATATTCTGTGTGAGATGTGGTCTCAAGTTCTTTTCTCTCCTTGCTGCTTGAAATTCTCTTTTGTTTCTTCTTCAAAGAGTAATATAAGATCATTTTCCTATTTGAGAAAGATCCTGAAAAACTAAAGATTTTTTTAATTGATTGGGAGAGACAGAAAGAGAGAGAGAGAGAGAGAGAGAAAGAGAGAGAGAGAAAGAAAGAAAGAGACTAAATTATTTTCCATGTATGAACCTGCACATGTATGTCTTCTTTCATTTATTAGAAAGAAAAGAATATTCTGCCCTTTCTTTGTTAACCTCTTTAACTTTTCATTTTTCTGACCTGCTGCCTTATCTTTAAATTATCCTGAAAATCACAGCAACCCTGGTGGGTAAAAATGTATTTATAATTCAAATGTATTTATAATTTCTACCTGCCACGTTTGCCTGCTCTTAAATGCTGGCCTCTGCAAGTGGGATTAACTATATTTCAAGCAAACAAGTTTCTCCCACATGGCCTGAGTGAGAACCAAAAGTTAGCTGTGTTTGTCAGGCTGATGTGACTTTCACTTAGAAATATTGCTTTCATGGAGAAAACCCAATGTTCACATGTGTGGACACGCCTTTAATAAGTTGCTAAGCTTACTGCTTTCCAAGTCTGCCTTGTATACCTGTGCCTAGGGCCACCTTAGCAAATGCCATGTGGCTCCAAGTCCTTCAGGGCTTATTATCTTATTACTAGATGAAAAAAAAATGCATCTTCAGATGTCAAATTATTTAACACCATAAATCATGGAAAATTTTTGGTTTGAAATCCTAGCTGAACCTCATTTAACTGATATATTATTTTATTCCCCTTGGCTATTTGATTCAAATGATTCCATGCTTAATTAACCAAGATACTTAAGGAAGAATGAATATCATAGTGGATATTTGTGGGTAAGTAGCAGAAATTGAAGGATAATTTCTGAATGATTTGTCTACCTAAGCTAAAGTGCAAGAGTTATGGTTTGCAATTTAAATAATCATGCAAAAAACAAAAAAGCTTCCTACGTTTTATGGATTCTCCAAAGTTCTAAGTGACTCAAGACGGAGTGCTAGCTCTGATAGCTCCCATTTCTGTTCTCCGACAAACTTCCATCTCCTTACTGCATTTCTAGTCAACTAATATGTATTGAATATTTTGGAATTCATTTTTCGTTTATACTTCCATACACATGCATACACACAGACAGGCAGACAGGCACACAGACACACAATGTTCTTTGAGCAGAGTTCTCCCCTCCAATATCCTCTTTTCTTCTCTGTCCCACAAAACCTTGTACTTTCACGTCTTACTACGTGTGTGTCCTGAGCATGAGTGTGGCTTA